GTCGAGGCCAAGTTGACGGGCTCTCCTGTTCCGCGACGGTAGTATTGAGGTTTTTCAAGGCTGCCCTCTGAGGGAAACCTCGGTCGACTTCGGTTCGCCCACGAATCCATCCCACCGTTCGAATATCTTCTTCCAACGGAAATCGCGATTAGGGCGGGATTTCCGCTTTCGGCGACAGAGCGGTGATTATCCAGATCCGGAGCCGTGACGACCGTGAATGGGAGGATAGGACGCGTCAGACAGTGCATCCGCATCCGTCACCTACCGTCTCCTACCGTCACCCTCATCGTCAACAAAACCAGAGATGCAGTGGCCAGACGAGGTCCCAGCTTGACTGCAACAATCTTGACCATTCATCCACCATGTGTTAACGTTTCTGACAGTCTGGCGATCCTCGCGTTGAATGTGGGGAAACGGGGTACTTGATCTCACTTGCAGATCGCACACTCTTGATGCGGAACGGTACAGAACACAGTTCTGTCCAGATTTTGACGCGCGTTAACTCTAGCCCGTAAGGATACCTAGATCGAGCTCGAGGTCGAGGCGAGTTCGAATGGCCGTGTCAGCACCGTGACATCGCGCTGGCAAATGATCTCCGAGAAATCTGATCTCCGTGCGCATCTTCCGAATGGGATAGAGGAGGCTCAGGCTCTGGACGATTTTTTGGCTCGCCTTGTAGATATTCTGGTCACTCGAGCGTCCGAGTACCAGCCAGGTTTTTATAAGACCATCCGGTCTTTACCAGCACATGAAACGCGACGCTAAAAACAAAGAATCTCCACCTGTCCGGATCCATCAGCTTCTGAATCTGTCGCATATAATTTGGGCCCCGAGGCCAGCCATCGCCGTTCATTTAACGCTGCCCCAGTCGCTCGTTTTCCTCCTTGTTCTGGACTTTCCCCGTTATGAAGGGATCCATCTCAGTCTTTTCTCTTGTTGCCGTGTTGGCTGTCTCCTCCTGCGTCTTTGCCGTCAAGCAGACCTTCACCGTGACGGACAATTGCACCGCGGGTTGTACAACCGTACGTGCTGCCAGATTCCATCCATGGCCGTGCTCAAATATCGCTCCAGGGAGCTCCTCCTACCCCTGCGGCTGAATCCACCCACTCTGGCCGCCCTGAAGGCGGCGATGGTGCGTAAGGTGCACAACGCATCGCGGACGTCCTAATCAGCCCGACAGTCTCGTTCATGAACATCTTCAATGACCCCCTGAGTGCCACGGACGTATGCTGCCCTGTCGATCGCGACCTAGACTGTGCGTGCCTATTAGATCTGGCGCGCCGGATGTTAGACCACTTTATCTACAGGTCCCTCCTCCGTCCCCGCTGCTCACGACGAACGCGAGACCACCGGTTCTCGTGACTCCTGCGACGCCTTGAACCGAGACGGTACCTCCTGTGCGTTCAGTTCAATTATGGAGCGGATACAACTGATCCCCACCCGCTCCTAGCCGCCCCCGTAAATAACTGCGCTGAAACTGAGACTAAGACACCCCCCCATCGCCTTTATATAGACGCACTCTTTTCCGCCAGCTCTACTCCCCTCTTTTACCTCTCTCCGACAACTCGCTTCGGCATGCCTTCAGTCGCCACCCTCTTCCTTGCCGCCGGTGCTTGTCTCGTCTTCTACGCTCTCCTCCAAGCATTCTCGCCCCTTGTCGCCATCTACAAACACCATCGCGCGGCACAGGCTGTCGGTCTTCCAGTCAAGATCCTCCCCGTTCCCCCCGGCGTCTTCCCCTTCTTCGCTTTCCAAATTATCAAGCGCCTCGGCCTTGCTACGCCGGGTGGTGCCGTCGAGAAGATGTTTAACGTTGGCCGTGCAGATGGTTTTGGCATGCACGGAGAACTTGGAGACACATTTCTTACCGTCAGCACCATAGGCATCGGGCTGGTCACTGCCGACCCCAAAGTCGCCAGTTACGTGAGCGCCCGCAAGGAGCAGTTCCCAAAGCCGCCCAACACCGGAGGTATGCATCTATCCTTGTTCCGTGTATTCGTACGACGATCTGACGCATCATCCAGCTCTCATTAATCTGTACGGAAAGAACGTGATCAACACACGCGGTGAACAGTGGCGTATCCACCGCAAAGTGGCCGGCCCTGTCTTCTCGGAGAAGATTCACCGCGACGTTTGGAATGAAGCGACACGCCAGGCAGGCTACTTGCTGCGGGCTTGGAACGCGCGATCCAATTCGGACGAGTTCGTGCTCACACAGCTCGAGGACGATGCTCTCCGGCTAGGCATGCATGTTATCACGGGCGCGGCGTATGGCGTGCCCCTAGGTTGGGACCAGAACCCGCCCTCAGCCACGAAGACCTCCATGTCCTATCGTCGGTCGCTCGAGCAACTCACCGCATACCTGATGCCCCTGTTCCTCACGCCTCGTTGGGCACTTCGTCTTGCGCCGCGTTGGACCACCTGGGGGCAGGCTTGGGAGGCATACTCTGCCTTCGGCGGGTATATGCTCGGTATGCTCGAGCTTGCGAGACAAAAGCGGGAGAAGAACGAGGAGCCCGAAGAGGGTGATAACTTGATGACAGTTCTGACGCGGGCGGAGCTGAGCCAGGAACTGGACCCTACCGAAGTGCTCGGGAACGCCTTCATCTTTCTATTCGCCGGCCACGAAACGACCGCCAACACGCTGCACTACGCGCTGCTCCTCCTCACGCTTCACCCCGAAATCCAGGCCCTCGTCCATTCCGAAATCGACGAGCTGTATGGCTCCCGTACTTCGCTGGTCTACGACGACTTTCCCCGCATGCGGTGGGTGATGGCCGTCATGAACGAGACCCTTCGCGTCTTTGCGCCCACCGCGATGGTGAACAAGTGGACCGATGAGCCGACGGCCATACCTTACGGCCGGACCACTGTGGTCCTCCCTCCCAACACCCGCGTCTCTACCAATATCACCGGCATCCACTCTAACCCGGCCGTCTGGGGTCCCGACGCCAAGGTGTGGCGCCCCGCACGGTGGATCGTGAGCACACCCACCACGCACTTCATCCTCCCCTCCGCGCCGCCTTCGCCCTCCCTCCACGTCGACTTCGGCGCCGCCAGCCTCCTCACGCCCACCCCTGCCGCGTCCCGCCCGTCCACACCCGGTCTTGGTGCACCCGACCTCCTCAAGCCTGCCAAGGGCACGTTCCTGCCGTTCTCGGAGGGCTCACGCATGTGCTCCGGACGCAAGTTCGCTGCGGTGGAGTTTTGCGCGGTGCTGTGCACGCTGCTCAAGGAGCACCGGCTCGAGATGCCGCGGGACTGGTCGGAGGAGCGCATGTGGGGCGTTGTTCGCGGGCGGAAGCCGGGCGCGCTGACGCTGCAGCCGCCAGAGCCCGTGCCCATTGTGATGGTACCGCGGAGAAGGTGAACGACGCGCTGTCGGACTTTGTAATTATTCTCTGGACTCTTTCCCTGCACGACCATCCCCGGATCGCTAAATTCACTCGTTGTTGCGCATTACACACCCACACCACGGATTGCTACGTTTGCTACTTATCATCAATTAATACTGTGTACTATCTGTACTTGGACTTGCATTTGTAATTTACGCGCGCACAGACATTCTGCTGCATTGCACCGGAAAAATGACTTCGTTTCTTAACGATAGTACATACCAGCTGTGAGAGCTTTCCACCGAAATTCCCATTTTCGGACGTTGGCGGTGCCAGTGATTGTTCGCATTTGGAGGCCAAGGCGTTGCTCTGCCTTGAATAAAACCGTCATCGACCGCACAGGCTGTACATCCCAAGCCCGATTTCCCCAACACTGCACAGCAACTCCGCCGGGGCTGGGATACTTGTACCTATGGGCTGAAACGTGGAACACGCCGGACCACGACATACTCACTCACCATCTACTCCAAGTTATCTATTTGAAGGTCGAATTCATCCCGGTCACTGACCTCATCTGTCCTCGCTCGTATCCTTATGGGTTCCGCGATTTCTACCGGAATAGTCGACCGTCTACCGAGCTCCGCGCTTCCGAAGTCCTTTGGTTCAGCCTTCTCGCCGCATGTGTCGCGGAATAACGACTAACCTAGTGTTATTAGACCTCGTAATGATAGGCCTCGATGACGCGGGCAAAACGAGCGTCGTGAACCGCCTCAAGCGGCGTGAGCTGCCTGGTGGTGTGCTACCCGCCACCGTTACCACTATAGGCGCGTTAAATTTCATCTACGCGTTTACTCGCGACTCACGCTCGGCCAGGGTCCACAATTGAAACGATCACGCATGGACGGCACAGCGTCACCATTTGGGAGTTTGGCGGTTCAGTGAAGATACGGCCACTGTGGAGGCGCTGTGCGTATCCGTATTGCCTCTCATCTACGTTCTGAACAGGCTCAGATTTCTGGAACGGCCACGGGTACATCTTCCTAGTTGACGCTGCTGCCTCCACGCGGTTCAGCGAAGCCAAGGAGGAGCTGCAACGGATATGGAAAGAAACAGAGCACGTCGGCCCTCTGCTTGTGCTCGCCAACAAGAATGATCTACCGGATGCGGTGGAGCTCAGCGCGTTCGAGGAAGCATTGGGCGTCCACGACCTTGGGAAGTCGGACAGGAAGTTAGCTGTGAAGGTGAGTTCAGGGAGCTCTGGCTCATCAGGCGGAGGCTCATACAAAGCTGGGCAGGGCGTATCTGCTATGACTGGCGCAGGGTTTGACGATGCACTGGACTGGGTTGGCTCCTTCAAATTTCCTGGCAACATTACTGACCGGTCTCATTTAGTTTGTGCAAAACATTTCGCACCAGCACATTGCGGCGACCAATGAGTGGAAGAAGAACATGGCACAAGCATGGTAACTTCGAATACAGTAACACGATAATCACAGGAAATCGTTGGGGAATCATGTCTCGAGCCTGTCTCGAGGGTTCGTTCATAACCCATAAGGAAGTGGCTTAAAAACCGACTCCAACGAAATGCACTGAAATGCAGGATGGAAGGCGGGAGATTCTGCGGCAGGCTCCTGTCGAAATCCCCGCAGACCACCTTCTGGCATCGGCCCAATGGTCTAGTCGTAGGATACTCCCTTCGGGTTAACACCCGCTTGCAAGCCTGTGAGCAGTCATGGGAGTGGTCCCGGGTTCAATTCCCGGTTGAGCCCCTTTTTGCTCTTTTCCTTGTCCACGGAACTTCGTAGTTCCAGTGTGTATGGACTCATTCGGGAGGCGTCGTTGCCCTGCGAATCCGTGACTCGGATCTTTGAATTGCATCTAAAATCGCTAGTTACGGACTGCCTCGTACATATAATCACTGTAGCAAAAACCCTGGTGTACTAAGGCGAGTAGTAGGAGTCCGAGACATATATTACGCATTCTTAAACTCACAGGCAGCGTTAGTTGCCTGTTGGTTGCTTGCTGGCAGTGCCAGTGTTGCGTATCGTCCCACAATTTTGACCGTACATGTCCATCGCCGCCGACCGCCTAGCGGGCCCCGGAGTCCGCGCTTCCCGAAGAAATCCCGCTCGCCAGCGCTAGCGCCATAATTGAAAAGGGAACGCCAATCATTTTTAGAGCTCGTCATGATCAGGCTCGACGGCGGGTAAGTAAATCTGGGTAGATCTGGGTAAGACAGGGTAGGATAGGGTAAGACAAGCTTTTAACCGCTCGAAGCGGGGCGAGCTGTCGGGCGCGGGGGGTCGATCCCATTGATATTGGAAGGGTTCCGCATAGTTGAAGGCATAGCGCTACAATACAGGGTTGGAGGACGGGATAGGATACGAGGGTATGTGCGCGTTCCCAACCCGTATCTCGAGTGGTGGGATGGTAGTTCGCGGCAGATGCATCACAACAAGTCCAAGTGATTGCGCCTGGTGAACTTATAGCACGGAAGCGTGAAAATCGGATTCCAGGAATACGATGTTTCTTTCCCGAATGCAATGTTCTAGCGCCTCCCTTCTCAATGAAGGGAGACACTGAACAAAGTCGGTGGTTCGTACTGACCGCCTTACATACCCGCATACCCGATTCTTTATAAAGAACGGGATCGGGGCTTCGTCTCTACCGCCTTACGCACCGCATTATTCCTCGAGACGTCAGCGGTGGTGGTAAACCTGGACGGCGTCAGTGGACTGGATGGACCGGCGGCAGAAAAAGCTTCCGTGCATGGCATTTCGCAGACTACAACAAGAATTTAGATTTCACAGCACCGCGCGCGACTACTGCTCAGCCCTTTTTGAACCCTGCAATAACGAGATTAGTATGAAGAAGTGCGGGAAGCGGGAAGCGGGAGAAGGGCAACGTACCTAGACGACGGCGCTCATAGAAGAGATCTGTTCTGCTGGCTCCCAGGTTGACGATCTTGGGGCACCCGTCGCGGTCTTTCTCGAGACGCGTGCACTCGGCGCAGTAGTACGCGTCGGAGATACCTGTACACGCGCATTAGTTTTGATTTGGGCACAGGAAAGTGGAAACGCACCGGGAGAGCCACAGATGATACACCGTCCGCCGTACGTGCCAAAGTTGCATTCATCGCATATCCGCACGAGAGTTTCTGGTCGCACGTACGAATCACACACGGGACTGTATGCGCGGCAGGTGAGTAGATGGATGCGGTATAGCGCAGGGGACGAGCCGGCGCGCGCACCATTTTCCGTCGCACTTTTCGCACAGACGCCCGATTGCTGAGCCGAGGACGCGGTTAGTCATCGGTGCGCCGACGCGAAAAACGCAGGGAACAACACACCGATTCCGGGCTGGCGCCTGCACATAATCAAGTCTGCATAAGAGGTGAATTAAGCACGGGCTGTGGGGGACAGGATGGATTATTGACCTGGGTGATGCTTTGACATGGTGGGTGGGGATAGGAAGCAGAGGGTGTGACCGTGACGTGACGCGCTTCGATTGTAATAAGTCTCAGGGTCAGAATTTTCACTTCGAAGCCTCCGCACCCACCGTGATATTTTCTGTATATATCATGGCAATGCTGAGGTCCTAAGTGCCCCCCTCACCGACCCCATACCCCTCGCCCCCCATATATCCCTTATATCTCGCACCCTACCCTATCCTATCAGTTGGTTCCTAGCCCCCCATGTCCCAGTCTCAGGACACTCCGCCCACCACCCCGGACGTCTCCGGCCTCGCCTGCCCCGACCCGCTCGAGAAAGTGGGTTCACAATGCGTCCCATGTGTCCCCTGCTCACTGTTCGGCTTGCGTGCAGATTTTCCAGCAGGTCGAGGAGCAGAATGAGCGGCGTGCACGACAGGAGGCGGTCGAGGACACTGTCTCCGACCGGATTCAGCGCATGGACTCTTCGGACAACCTTAAAAAATCCCGCAGGAGAGGCAGCATATCCATCAGCCGTTTTGGCCAGGTAAGCTCTTTTTTCATTCGCGCGCCCGGCACCCCTTCTCAAGCCCAGAACCCCCGCGCGCTGTAGCTCTCCAGCTCAGACGCCGTCTCCGATGGATCGAGCGGGCCTATGACGCCTGCGCTGTCGGATATTGCCGCCAAATCACCCTTCTTCCAGGCGCAATTGAAGGTACGTAACACGGCGGCCCTTGTTCTGCCCCGAGATTAATATTCTGTGTTTGTGTGTGCAGGCGAATGGAAGCCAGACGTCGTTCGCGTCGGGCGGCTCGGCGGCAGACGATGCGGAGGCGCACCACGAGGACGACCACCATGTCACGCACATGCACACCATCGCTCCGAAGCAGAGCATATCGCGCGCGGTCGGCGGGTTCTTCCCCCGCCGACTGAGCCGCGCGCGGTCGACCGTCCTGCCGTCGAATGATGTCGTGATCGGCGTGTCGGTGGCAGCGGCCACGGTCGAGCTACCCGAGAACGCGGAGGTCGCGGCGACCGTGGTGCACGCCCCGGGCGCTCTGCATCACCAGGCGTCCAAGGCCAGCCTCACCGGCTCGCTCAACAGCAGAAACACCTGGGCCGAGCGCGCCAAAAAGTTCACAAAGAAATTTCGGCGGAAGAGCAAAAACCCTCTGGCCGACGCCGACGCGAACGCCGCGCCCCCCTCCTGAACCCTCTTTTATTTCCCCTGGACTGACCACTACAATTGTATTACACCTACTCATCGTCTGTCTTTACCTTCAGTCTCATTCTAATAAAGTTTGCCTGGGAGCGGAGCGTGCTATCCGCGGATAATCGTGCGACTTTTTTAATTGTGCGAGGCGGACCGTGATTGTGGACGCGGTCCGTTCGGGGTTAGAGTTCTCAGACCTGCCTCGCCGCACTCCGAGTCCAAGAATAATAAGATGGGACGTCCCGTGCACCGAGCCTTCTTCCTCCCCGTCCACCACATCCCCCCGCTCATTTCCCTTTGTGCCCTCCCTGAACGCGATGCATCCTCGTGTTGACACCCACAATGTACGTCCACAATCGATCTTGCCCCTTTAATTGTGTGTTTAACCGCGTTCCCAGGCACTGAACACCCCTCCCTGGTTGGCCTCCACAAGTTCCTTTGTGGATGTAAACCAAGAGAGCGATTCATCCTCGAGCAGCTCACAATGTGTGCCCTGGATCGACCGCACGTCCCTCGACATCCCCTTTGATCACTCGTGCTTTGACGCACTCGACGAGCAGCTTTTGTACCACCCCACCCAGTCCTTCGCAGACGTCTGCTGGGCGGAGGCCGTGCACGAGCCCCGTCGACGCTCATTCCAACAAGTCCTACCACGAATTAACACAGACTCTGAATTTGCACTCGCAGCCGACACAGACGCCGAAGCGCCCGCGCCCGCATACTTGCCCTTTGCCGATAAGCTCAACACCCCGGGCCCCCACCGCCTCGCGGCAGAACCTTACCTCCCCCCAACCTTCCATGTAAGCTTCCCTTCCTTCCCTTCTAACTTACTTCCCCGGGCCCTTGTGCGCCGCGTTCATTTTACAATGCTCAATTCTAACCTCCCTTCAGGCCCCATACTTACCTACGCCTTACCCTCCCCACGGCCAGTCTCTACTCAACGTCAACGTCAACCTAAAGACAACCGTGCCCCGCGTGCCTGCGCCCGTGTCGGACCCCGCCCCATTCGCGCTCCTCCCGCCGCGCTTCACCCAATCGGACCCGAGCGAGTCGATCGGGTTCTTCCCGACGCGCCCCCAGGACCACGCCCGCCGGCCGTCCAAAATCCCCGCCCGCTTCTTCGCGTACCTCCACGCGCGCACGCTCCCGCGGGTGTAACACAAAAAAAAATCACCAGCTGCCAAGTACGGCGACTTGCAGCGCCTGTATCACTTCACTTCACATTCCATTCGTTATCCGCTATCAGCACATTTTTTTTTTTTGCAAGAACATGTACCTGTACCATCTACCCGCATACTACCTACCGCCTCTCTACCCCCGCTGCCAGTGCGTGCCACTCTGGGCGCCGGATGCCCAGCACAGGAACTATCACATCACCGTGTCTGTTGTACACACACTATCGGCGAACGGACAACATTAGAACAGAATCAGCATACGCCTCGCAGTAATTATACAATGCCTGTCATACTCGAACGAAACGAATCGCACCCGCAATGCGATGTAAAACATGAATTGAAGTTATCCTAGGTCTAGGGTGGAGGAAAGATGATGATGATGAAAGAAAGCTATACACGGATAACGAAAAGCAAGTAAAATTGGGGGTGTCCAAATGTAAAAAAACTGTAACAACGATGCGTCGTCGCGCACGTAACTATTAATTATTTCCTTCTGCGCCGCCTCCCCGCCGTCGCCCGCATTCATGCATGCATGCACGCAATCAAGACAGGTGGAAGCTCCCCATGCCCTCCTGGATGGCGACGCGCAGCTTCTCGCGCATGATGCTCTTCGAGGTGTACTCGGGCAGCTTGAGGTAGTTGACGCAGGTCATCACGCTCGGGAGGTAGTCGTCCGCCGTCAGCGGCGCCTCGTGCGGCTTGCGCACCACCGTCAGCGGCGGGTTTAGCCCGCGGAAACCTGCGACGGAGGAGAGTGAGATGCAAGTCGGGGGTATACGCGAGAGAGGCTGACCACCGATGGGTAACTTGGGACTGCCGGTGACGAACTGCAAGTAGTTTCGCCGCGTCGTCGCGTCGTACTCGGACAGGATCTCGACAAGGTCTCGGATGGCGCGGCTCTCGCCGTTGAAGCCGTGGTCCGCCTTCAGAGCCTCGCTCAAAGCTGCGGAA